TATATATATTATATATATATAGTGTGTAATAGCTTAAATTACTGTCGCCCCAATCATATAATCATTTTATAGTAGATTTTTTTTAGTAAATTGAATTTATGTTCAATGAAAACATCCATCGAGAATTTTTAAAACATTTAATGCTTGAAAACTAAAAGAATTATTCTCATGAATAATACTATACATTCCTTAATTGATTCCGAGAAAAGTTTGTGCTTTTAAAAATTTATTGTTAGTTAGTTTGTGTAGATACGTAAATATTTAGTCGAGAGAAAAGTTAAACGATAGCGATGAGACACCCCGTTCAGTTGCATCAGTCGAGTTTATACATTCACGGTCTCTTTCACGCGGTTTTTATCAGCGATTAAACGTTGCCGGGAAAGACTACTTGTAAGAATGATCTACACGATATCTCAAAAGAGTACTTGAGTTGGCCTTTGATTCCGGGATGCAACACTTTTACCGCTACGGTTTGCAATTTCCTAGAACGTGGACTGGCGGACGCGAATTCATCGCTTTCATTGAGAGCTTTATCTGAAATTTGATGTATATGGTCTCGTTTCATTATACTCTACACACACACACACACGCTCGCGCGCATACAGGGTGAGGCATTCAAAACAGGTCACCTGAATAACTCGCTTTGTTAACAATAGAAAGAAAAGTGTCAAATAAAAGTTGTTTGATTGCGAGAGGTACATAATGTGACAGCATTAATTTTTTTATAAATGGAGGTGTAGAGAATATAATAAAGGTCAAACCTGTTTTTTAAATAAAATAATATACTTTCTTATTTACATTCTGATATATTGCTTTAAGCATCGATACATTTTTTAAAGCGTGTCGATATAGAAAACATTGCACGACGAATTTGGATCAAACTCAACGCAAGCTGTTCTTAATACGCTCCTTTTTTATGTTTTCTCTGATTTATTGACATTTCGCTGTATATTTGTTGTTTTTATTTTACACGCTTTAGAAAATGCATTGATGCTCAAAGTCATCATTTTGAACATTTGTAGCGGTAAGTACATAAATTAGTAAAATATTCGAAAAGTGCCTCAAAACAATTTATTTTCCATTACAGTTGATCTTGTGTAACCTTGAATGACCTTCAAATATGGGTCATTGTATTCGTATCGAAACGCTCTATTAGAATGTAAATAAAAAAGTATACATTTCATTTAAAAACAAATTTAAACTTTATTATATCCTCTTCACCTATAACAAAATTAGTGCCCCTCGAAACCAAGCAACTTTTATTTGACCCTTTTCTTTGTATTGTTAAAAACAAGCGAATTATTCAGGCTTGTTATAATTGACGGCCTCAAATATCTCTTGAACAGTGCATTTTACGAAAAAATGTTTCAGACAAAAGTTTTGTGACTTTGAGGGGGGCATAAGAGGGTATTATTGATTTGACCTTGGATAGTCGTTTGAAGGTTCCATGAAGATCACGTTTAATTTCTTAAATGGAAACCCTAAATTTTTGTTACATATTCTTGTAGCTTACTTCAAGAGCTTTTTAACCCAGAAATGATCGGTCCATAGAATTGACGTGAAAAGTACTAAAAAAAATTTTATTTTATTTAGTGTTTTGAAAAGCTTTTGAGGTAAGCTACAAAAATATGCAACAAAATAATTGGGGTTTTTATTTAAGAAATTGAAAGTGACCTTCATGGGACAACGCAGATAACTGTCCAAAGTCAAACTAATGACCTTCTTATTCTCCTCACAAAAGTTTTATCTGAAACATTTTTTTGTAAAATACAATGTTTAAGGAATATTTGAGGTCGTTATTTAAAATGGGACACCCTATATACTTGTACATGCATAGTGTTTGAGACTGTACTTTTATCTTCGCAAGATGAAAACCAATCCAAAATGTGTTCAAATTATAGTTGTAGGGTTTAAAAAGATTTATTTATTAATCATATCAGTTAGACCTTGGGTGGCGTTGCTAAGGTCAGGTCAAGATCACATCAATTTTTTTTTAATGTAACACCTTATGTTTGATTTCAGAATCTAATAGCTGATGTCAAGAGCTTCTCAAAACACTATAATAAGTTTTTTTTTTATTAAGTACTTTTCGAGTTATGAAGCTTGAAAGTTACAATACCGCCGGCATTAGCATTACCCAAGCCCCAAGGTATACCGCATATAGGTTGCCTAGTCGGATTTACCTCTGGTGCGTGTGCGTGTGCGCGGCGCGCGCGCGCGCGCGCGCGTGTGTGTGTGTGTGTGTGTGTGTGTGTGTGTCGCAGCAGAGAAGATAAGGACCCCATGGTGCGTCACTCCCATAGTATTTTTTGACTCAAACTCTCACTGCTGTGTGTGTGTGTGTGTGTTGTGTGTATGTGTGTGTTGCGTTTACGCGCGTTTTGCATGCGTACATGCTTGCACACATTGGCGTTTCTGAATAAGTAAATGTTTACTTGTTTATGAGAGATATTCAAAGTGTGGCTATCGTTTTTTAAGATGCAAGCATCTACTCTACTTTTGAAAGGAATTAGTTGTTAGAAGAATTTTATTAGCTAAAGAATAAATTACTTCATTTATTCTAATAATATTGTCCCTTGTAGTTAGACATTCGCAGAATATCAAGTCCTTCATCCTTCTCCACTAATCTAAATAATAATCGAGAACAGTAAAGTGATTGAAGTGGATGATTGATTGGACAGTATTTGTTTATCCATTTGTTGGGAAACATGGCGTTTAATGCGGCACGGGTAATTTAGTACCGTACCGTAAATTTGAGATCTCATAAATTGAAATGTATTTAACAAAAAAATATTTTAGTGTTTTGGAAAGCTCTTAAAGTAAGCTATAAGAATATGCAATTAAAAATAAGAGGCTCCATTTAAAAAATTCAACTTGATCTTGCAAACTCCACCCAAAGTCAAACTCTTATCACTGTTAGGTCTGTTAGGCATTTTATTTAGTCCTACAACTTTTTTCGTACATATTTTTCATTAAAGTTGATCGTTTTCGATATATTAAATCCCTTATGTACATGGCTAAAAAGTAAGCTATTGAAATAAAAAAAATGCATTTTATAGAAGATGAACAATACATTTATGACTTTTGATCGGAATTTCATGATAACGATAAAAAATTAACCTTTTCTACAAAAAAATGTCAAATATCGTGAAAAAAGCCATTTTTTGGACATTAAATCTTAATTATCATAGAAACCTGATGTGCTGGAGTTTTTTGGCTTGCGGTATTGTTTTCAGCATTCAAAAATCTATGAAAAATACCTAGTCGGTTCAAAATAACTTTTTGCTGTAAACTAGTGTTATTAAAACATTTTTTAACATTCGAAAATATCATATTATTAAATAATGTTTTTAAAAAGTTTATATAAGATAAAAAAATATTATATGTATAAGAACGTTATGTAATGAAATTTTATTTACAACTATTGATCTAATGTTTACTGTTTATTAGATCTTCTCTTTAATATGTTAACAAGGTAATAGCTTTCATTTCGATTACTTCTACATGTCCAAATGTATTTTGTTTCACAAGAAAAAAAAATTCGTTAAAAATCTTTAGAAACGACAATATCGCGTTGTTCATTTTAAGTCTGCGATCAGCCTGATTTCTCTGCGCGCATATATTTAATGCGACTATGTAAATCCGAACAGGATTTCAAATGTCTACCGCGTGAACGCTTCGTTGGTGAAAAGATAGCAAAGGCGATTTTTTATGAAATCGTACCTGCGCGATTTCTTTCGTGGCAATGTTACACGCGCGCGAGAAGAGTAGATGAAAACACTTTCTAGTATAGCTTACTTTCCACGAAACGCGATGTCTGAGGATCCTGCGTCGCACTTAGATCGATCCACGCTTTGTATACCTGCATCGATTTTAAGCGATATAAAGTCGTACGAATAACATTCGTCTCGTCGGGTAACTGCGATCCGCGTGCAGAGCGGCGCACGCGAATCCATTCTCCAGCCGGGCCTACCGACTGTATACCTGCGCACAGCAACCTGAGCCGATCGGTTCCTTATCGTCGAACCTCACGAATAAGTTCCGCCAAGAAGGACCGTACGTCGTCTCGAGCAAGTGCTCTGTATACGACCAGGGGTGTGGCGTCGCGTTCCGTTGCAGCCGCGAGAGCGTATCGCAGACGTCTTGCGAGAAAACGTCCCGCCGCGTGGATACCCACTGGCCAAACTTGATAAAAATCGGCCCGAGATACTCGATTCCTGTGGAAAAATGCGACTCCTTGGCTCTACAAGATTCTCTTTCCCGAACGACACTCTACTGATCATCTTGTTTCAAACGGCGCGAAGATTTGTTTGAAATAATTTTTTCACTGAGAAAAAAATTGATTGTACAAATTAAATTTATATAGTTGCACAATAAATAATGGACGAAAAACGAGCAATAAAAAATTAACGGATGTTCAATTATTTATTCATTTGTGGTGATTGCATCGCACAGCCCCAAATAAATGAAATGTAAAATTAAAAGTTTAAGTAAAATAATTTTGCCTGCTAGATACACGACATACACAAGACATATACATACACACATGTACATTTACATACAGGTCAACACACAAAAACAAAACCGGATCGGTTAGCGCGGATATCCCCGGCTTATATACCGCGATTGAAAAGACAAAGGAATTATTGTTTAAAAAATTCAGTAACGGAACGTGATGTTTAAAAGTGGGGAAATTTAAAGGCTGGAAATAAAACCGGTTTTTTTCAATTTTTCCGCGGATTTTTTCTGTTTCTTTCCCAAGGGGTAGAAAAATTCAACGGAAAAATTCACGTGTGACCTCGTAAAACCTATTACATTTCACATTTGCAACACTTTGGTACATTTTTCAAAATTTTAAAATTTTACAATTGGTATGTTTATTGCTAATAATTTTAAGTACAAGAGAAATAAAAAGCAAATCACACAAAGATAAATAAAAAACAGAATTAATGTATTTTCAAAATAAAATATATATCTGCTGACAAGTATTAACTTTTATATATATATATATATA